TTTGAAAATTTTCAGTGTTTGTTTCCATAAGGACGGGGCCCGGAACATCACAATTTCATCGTTGAGTAGAAAAAGACACAGATTGGCCGCAACCTACGTCCCTCTCTCTCATTTTCATCGACCAACATATCCTATACCACTACACGAATCGCGCAGTCCATTCTCTATTAGCGTTTTCGATTGGGGTGCACTGGCTGCACTCAGTGTCAAGAGCGTGTTCGATTGGCAGTGCCAATGCGCACTTGGCTAGTGTCACGTGTTCATTTGATCGCACGACACTCGCGTAGTGCGCACTCAGTGCGCACTAAGGGGCACGAGATATTTTGACGGTGCCAGTTCAGTGCACGTTTTATCACAGGTAAGGATATACATAGGGACAAGCAAATGTGCGAAGTTGAATTGAAAACGGGATCTTGTCCCTACTCTTAATATCTTTTACTGTGGTTTTGTAACATTTTGTTGAACATTGCTTCAAAGAGAACAAAAACGAGATTCAGCTTTAGCACTGGAAATCTTGGCGTATTCTTTTGAACTTGCACTATTCAGTGCAACTCATGGAACTCGTCCAGTGTTGGTGTGAACTGAGTGCGCACTGGTGCGCACTAACTTTTGCCCAATCGAAAACGCTATATGTCTCCACACAACTTGCATAGCCGCATAAACATATACATAAAGAAAATTATCCAATTGCAGTTCTCTTTTAAAGTCGTACATAAAATGTGATTGGATAATTTTCTTTATGCATACGTTTATGCGGCTATGCAAGTTGTGTGGATGTAGTGATCCAACTTGATCACGGCACGATTGGACACCACCAATCACAGCGACCGGTGCCTAGGAGCCTTGTAGTCTCAATCGCTGTGAGTGGCTCGTGTCCAATTGAGCCGTGTCCAACTGGGTGCCACTCGTGTGGATATACCTTAACACACAGTGCCCCGAAATAAACACAGCCATATTGGATTTTAATCGAATGGGCCCCCCATGATTGGTTGTCCACTCCCCATTACTTTTAGGCTACTGCGCATCCACGGGAACGACACACCTTGTATAATTCCACCATGCTCCGTTACGGACGCGCTCAGTGGATACGTACCATTAAGCCTCGTCTACAATAGTCGCACACTCGTGTACGTGTAAAGGCCCGTCTACAATACACGGAGTAAGAAGTAAGAGTAAGAAATTGACCAATCACAGTCGAATGTGAGAAGAATAATCGACTGTGATTGGTCAATTTCTTACTCTTACTTTTTACTCCGTGTATTGTAGACGGGCCTTAACTCTTTTGCAGAACTTCTGCTACCAGAGTCACACGTACACGAGCTTGTGCTTGTGTGTGTGCTACGGTTGCGCCAGACCGCCGACCGATGACGCTAGTCGCGATGTCGTAAATCGTAACAGAATTTGCATCTCTGGCTCCGTATGACAAGAGCTCTTGCGACTACGACAATCATGCGACTGTATGCGACATTTCTGCGACATTTCATACGACATGCGACACAACTTGTGCGACTATTGTAGACGAGGCTTAATGGTACGTATACACTGAGCGCGTCACGCGTCGCGTCGTCCATCGCGTAAAGGCGCGACTCGAAAGAGAGAAAGAGAGGAGTATAAACTTCACTTTTTTTTTCTTTCGCGTGACGCGCTCAGTGGATACATATCCTAAATGACCTAAATCCAGCATGTGTTCCAAAATTTACTGCTAGTGCTGAAAATGGTGCTTTCTATATGGGCTGCGTTCGAAAACATCACCCGGGTCTCCGTGTATCAACTTATTCTTGTTTAACACTGAGTGAACAACAAAGATAATAAGATTCAGGTGATATTTCCGAACGCAGCCTTGATGACATAAGGGGTGGCACCCAGTTGGACGGCTCAATTGGACACGAGCCACTCACAGCGCTTGAGACTACAAAGCTCCTAAGCACCGGTCGCTGTGATTGGTGGTGTCCAATCGAGCTGTGATCAATCGGGATCACCCCGACACAAGTCGACACGAGTCGGCATAAGCGTTGTTCTATCCTTGTTGACATTCAGAGTGTGATAAAGATAGAACGACACTTGTATCGACTTGTGTCGACTTGTGTCATCAAATGGAAAGCACCCAATGTATAGTATACGAAATTGTAGATTTTCAGCGCTCACAGAGAATTTTGCAACACAGCGTGAGTGAGCGCTCGTTGCTATAGATGTATTCTTTCAGGGGCTCTATTCTTGAAAAGCAACGTATTCGATAACCTAGGGAAATGCTACAGTATATGTTACGTGTACTATAGTATTTCCCTAGACTTTCGTATATATTTCTTTTCACAAATAGAGCCCCTGATCTAAAATGCTGAATGGATGATCTAAAAGAATATACCAATAACAGCGAGCGCCACTCAATTACTGAGTACACTGAATGCAGCCAATTGATCTGTTTTCTGTTCCTGCACTAAACTGTTCTAGAACTCTCTTTCTCGTTTTAAACAAATATCAAACGTATATCTTTCTCACTTTAAGTTCCAAAAGTGTACACTTAACGCTTATAACTCTCGTGGAATCATTTCATCCTTGTCGTTTATCAAATATTAAACAAGGAAAAACGATGCTCACGGGCGTTAAGTGGAACGCAGCCTAGTTCAGCCACAAGGGCTCTATTCTTGAAAAGAAACGTATAAGAAAATCTAGGGAAATGCTACAGTATACGTTACGCCCAGAAACAGACCTAGCGTACATTCGTTTATGCAGCGGTTAGCGCAGTGAGTATCATTAATCTTTATTCAACACTCGATGACTACATTTACACGGCACCCTTAATCGAGTTTAATAACATCCGTAGTTATGAAACTGGCCAATCACAATCATTCCATTCTCCCGAGGAAAAGCTATGATTGGCCAATTTCATAATTACGGATTATTAAACCCGATTAAGCGTGCCGTGTAGCAGAGGTCGATGAACAACAAGGATAAAGTAATACTTCTGCGCTGACCGCTGCACAAACGAATGCACGTCTAATGTCTGTCCAGGGGCTCTATTCTTGAAAAGAAACGTATACGAAAGTCTAGGGAAATACTATAGTATATGTAACGTATACTGTAGCATTTCCCTAGACTTTCGTATACGTTTGTTTTCAAGAATAGAGCCCCATATGCGGTCCATGAGCTCGGATCCTCATACGGGCAACAGCGCTTTGACACAGAGCGCTAATTGGTGAAAAGCCGGTTGTGGGGGTAAAATTTACCCCCATCGCCCGTTTTTCATCAATAAGCGTTCGGTGTCCGGGCTTAATCATCTCGTTTCGATTGAATAGCCATGCGATAAGTGACGGTCTAAAAAAGTCGCCCTGACTATTGTGAGCAGGACGGACGTGTGTCTTGCCTGCTTCGGGTATTGCATCATCTTGCCCACATTTTTTGAAGAGCTTTTCCGGCTTCGACTGTGATTTGCATTACAACATTTTTATTTCATCTATTAAGGTAAATTTTCACGAGCTGCTTTAACCGGCTATTTTAGCAACAAAAAGAATCACGTGATTAAAATCAGGGAATGGAAAGTTACTTTTTAAAAGTAACAAGTTACAGTTACTCGTTACCCAGTAGGAAAAGTAACAAGTTACCATTACTAGTTACCGATTTTTAAAAGTAACTCGTTACAGTTACCGTTACTTGAGAAAGTAACTTTTCGTTATTTTTCCGTTACTTTTTTTTAAATCGACGACCAACAATCACAGCGGACTGGCCTAGAGGCTTCTCTAGTCTCAAGCGCATTGTAAAAAATTGTGTAAAATTATAACTATTATGCTGGATAATTTTGAGATCCACTATAAGTTGTAAACGTCCACACATTTGTAAATTTGCAATATGCAAATAAAAATAATTTCTTGGTTTGGAACTAAGCAGATTGTGGAAGTACAATTACAATGTGTATGTGTAGCTACAGGAACGATAATATGACAATATATTTCGCACTATATATTATTATACATTTAACAACAATACGCGAAAAATTTCTTTTATATTACGTAATATTACTAAAATTTGGATAATTACAGAAAATATTCAAAATATCCTGCTATTTACATAATTTCCAATATAAAATAAGATATATTTACACAATAAAAACAAATTTACATAATTTTTGTGGAATTACATAATTTCTGTAAAATTGTATGATTTTTTTATAATTTTAAAACTAATCATGTAATCTATTTTACATTTATTATATGTGTAAATTTACGAAATTTTTTTACAGTGTAAGTGGCTTGTGTCGCATCGTGTCCAATCATGTGCAAAGTAACGATAAAAGTAACTGTAAAATTCGTTACCGTTAC